TTAGGTCTAACAGGGCTCATAGTTAACTCTTCTAACAGCTACATAACTGGCCTTGACCAACTATGTCCCATGATGCCACCTTGCCCTTCATACCAATTCTATGAGTTCAAGCAGGAATGAAGACTTCCTGCCTCTACTGGTGTGGCAGAAGGGAGTGGTGGTTAAGGTCATGAGAGGCTCTTTGGAAGAATACATGGAGATCTGGTTTTACTTCTAAAACACTGCTGGGCCCTGATATACTTGGTGATTTTATGTCAAATATGGGAGTAAAAATAAGATATTTTAATATCAAAGATGAGGATCACATGAGAGGATTTTAAAAGCATCCCCCACGCACCCCCGACTTCTAAACTCTAGATTGTTTGAATACTGATAGGTTTCAGTGAAAGCCTATAGGAGTTCCCTTCCTGGAATCTGGCGTTGAGGGCACCAGGTTCAGCTCAGTAGACACAAGTCAGAGAAACCACTATTGTCGAAACTGCTGTTTGCCTCCTTATAAAGCTCATAATAACCAATAAAGAGTGATCAGAAAGCATTTAGGAAGGAAATCATGATAGGAGGCACGGACCCTACAGACGGTCCGCGGATCAAGGCAGAATCCCAAGTCAGGAATTTCACTTAGTCTGGTGAAGTGATTGAGGGGATGGGAAACCTAGGCTAGGACTCTGCTAACTGGAGCAGGTGAATTACTCAAGGGAAACATGTTCTTGGGGTTACTCTCCACGAAAGTGAGAAACTGGCCTTTTCATCAATGTTCTTTTGTGTTTTTAACAGAGGTGGTGCTGAGTTGGCTGGGTCTCTACTCTGGCCAGCACCACGTAGATCTCTGGTTCTCAACCTGGCTGCAAAGCTAGAATTACCTGGTGCCTTTTAAACAATCCTGATGTGTGGTCCCATCTCCAGAGATTCTAATTTAAGTTGTCTGTAGATGTAGTTTAAACATGTGGATTTTAAAAACACTCCCCGCGTGATCTTAAGGGTGGCCAGCCTCGTAAATCACTGGCATAAACTTGAGGTTTTCTAAAAAACCTTCCTCTTTAAATCCACCACCCTAGCATTCAGCTTTCCAGCGCTTGGTTTGTTTTCTCATCTTTCTCCCTGTCCACCCCGCTCACCGCGCGCACCCCCCTCCCCCGCCCCATGCATACTCCGCAGGATGGTGACTTTCTCTCTGTAGTCACACTACAGTAGTTGCCAAGTAGAATTCAAGAGATGTCCCTGGTAAATAAGAATTCTGGCGAAGAAAGCGATTCTCATGCAAACATGGTACGAACAGTGTTCACCCCCTGCTGTGTTTGTTGCTTGATCTGTTTTCTTGGATGTTTCCCACTTGCCGTTTTCAGATTAGTGTCCTAGGACACACACACACTGTGGTCTTTCCCCCCAGTCCTCCTCTTGTTGGCATTTGACAGACCTCCTAGTTGAACGCACCGCGGCCCTGGGTGGGCACTATTTCTCAGCTCCCGGGAGCAACCTCAAAATTCACCGCACCTACCGCTCAGCCTGCAAACACTCAACACGCTTAATTTCCACTTGAACTAATTCAGGTTCCCAGAAAGCAAAGCCTGCGCCACTTAACCACTCCTCTCCCTCCGTTTCCCCCCATCCCTTGGTTTACTTAAGAAAGCACATATTTACAAGGCACGTCATTGCAGGCCCCTCCCTAGCAAAGACAAAGTTCCAGCGTTCCGCGCCAGAGAGCTTTCTCCCTCGTTCCCCTGCTGGGGTCCCCGAGGGCCAGTGACGCTAGAGCCCCCACCCTCACCCTGCCCAGCACCTGGTGCACGCAAATCCTTTCTCCACCGGTCTCTACTTCGCTGCGTCTTTTGGTGATTCAGAGCCCTGGCCCCGCCCACGGCGCTAATTTAACTCGGAACGCGGATTGCAGAACTACCGCGCGCCGCTGCTTCTCCCAGCTCCTCGCTCGAGCCCGCCCCGTCCTAACCGCGGAGGCCCCGGAATCCCGGCGCGGGGTCCCTGTCCCTGCGCGTCATGAGTCCCGCCCGGCCGAGGGCCCCCGCGGAGCTGCGCCTGCTGGGCGGGCTGACCCCTCTGCCGCTGCTGCTGCTGCAGCTGCTGCTGCTGCGTCCCCTGACAGTGCAGGGTGAGTGGGGCCCGCGGACTCCGCTGGCGGCGTAAATCTTTAGGCGGCGTGGGAGGGGCGTGGCGGTCTTCGCGACGACCGAAAAGCCCGCGGACTTGGGGGGAATGTGGGCCTGCCTAATGGATCCCGGAATCCTCTGCCCTTAAGGATCAGAGCTCCTGCTGGCACGATCCCTTGGGACGGGAGGAGTCCTTCCGCCGCTAGCCAGCAATTAGGAAGCTTGCCGTGCCGGACCCAGCTGGCAGGGCTTCAGGCGTGGATGGCTGAGGAAACAGACGCCAGGAAGCCAAAATGCAGGGCTCGAATAGCTTGCATTCTTAGCATCTCTCTAAGGTGGGAGGCCAAACAGTTAACAGCTCTAGCTTCTTAACAGAGTTCAGTCGTGTACAGAGGCAGTGCTCCAAGTTTGCGCCTCACTTCCAGCTGTAATATTTCAAGGGGGTGTCTGTCTTTACTGTGTGCCGAGTATCACACAAACATGTGCAACAGCATCTATGTGAAAGTCTAAACCACTAGATATATAAAAAATATATTTTTTAAATAACGAAAGGGAGGTGTTTATTTTTGACTATTTTAATCTTAAATTAATTGACAAGAAGCCTGGCAAGTTCTTGGTATGGCAGTGCAGCATTGGACGGACGTGTTATGAGTGCTTCAAAAGCCTGTTTATCTTATTCGTCTCGGGAAAGCAATGTTGCTATGAATTGAAAAGTGATATTTCCTTCAGTTCTGATTTTTCCTCCCTAGGTGACTGCGGTCTTCCCCCAGATGTACCTAATGCCCATCTAGCTTTGGGAGATAATACAAATTTTCCTGAACAAAGCACAGTAACCTACAAATGTAACGAAGGCTTTGTAAAAGTTCCTGGCAAGCCAGACTCAGCTGTCTGTCTTACCAGTAAATGGTCAACGGTTGCAGAGTTTTGTAATCGTAAGTTCTTCCTTTCTTTTCAGAAAAATTACGGGACTGGAACGTTTCTTAAGTTTAGTTTTAGCCCTCTTTGGAGTGACTGGTAATTGATAGTTTTCTAGCATTATTAAACCCCAGGGTGTACACCTGTTGGCATTTCACAATCTAGCTAATTGATGGCGATGGCATTACTTTCCGAAATTGGTCCTGCCTGTTCATTAACAGGTTTTTTTTTACCCCCTCCCTAACACTGTAACTCCTGAACTGATTAACAGAGAAAACAAACAATAGGTACTGTTTAGGGAGTAAATTATCTGTAACTATGTTTGGCAAATACCTTGAGACACATAACGTAGGTGTTCTTTTTTTTTTTTTAATTTCATTTTGTGAAGTAGGACTTACCAAATAAAATTCTATGGTGCTATTTTAAACAGTTCTCTATTTTTAATCTCCAAATCTATCATTATAGGCATAGCCTAGAATGGACGTATACAAGTAAAGATAAAGATGAGACTTGATTCCTACCTTTGAACAATTTGGAGCAGTAGAAGCTACAGTAAATATAGAAACTGCCACAAATATTTTTTGAAACCAGGTGTGAAGTCAGCTTTAACTTTTTGTTTGTATCT